GCGGCGTTCTCTCCTCGTTGATCCCTTCTAAGGAGCGGGGGCGCGAGCGTGCTCGGCGGGACTTTGTGCCCCGACTCAGGGAGTCGGAGGAAACTGAGGTCCAGCAAGTCCCAGAGCTACGCAGAGCTGGAACCCGAGCTCAGGGCTTAGAAAGCGGGCGGTGCCTGCATTCGCACGGTGTCTTCGAGCGCGGCTTCGTTGGGTTGGTGCTGGGGCTTAGTAGACCCTGCACCATTGCAAGAGAGAAGCTTGTGCTCATCAGCAAAACCGATTAAACTGAATATTTATTTGCATTTCATGATAGTCAGGAAATAAAATAAGGGTATTATGGCCAGCACCAGGAATGGGGGGGGTGCGTTTAGAAATTGCGCAACAGTCAAACATTGATTGGTTTTGTATGAAAATTTGTTTTATTTTTTTCATTAATTTTTTTTTTTTTTTTTTTTTTTTTTTTTTTTTGTCTTTTTGAGACAGGGTCTTGCAGTGCAGTTCAGGTGGTCTTGAGCTCACTTCGTAGCCCAGGCTGGTCTCGAGCCCGCAGTTATCCTCCTGCCTCAGCCTCCCGAGTGCTGGGAAAAAAAATTTCTAAACCGTTAACAGCCTCCAGGATGGAAGTCGTCCCATGGTCAGTCATCATCTGAGTCGCTGAGGCCGATGAACTGGCACACGGCATTGTAGTGAAGCTCCACCAAATGATTGTCTCTCCGCAGGTGCACCAAAGCCCGGCTCCTGGCTGTGTCCCTGCCCAGCAGATACCCCACCTTTCCAGCCTGTGGCCCCAGCACCACCATCACCCGATCCCCCTCGCCCTTGGGAACCAGGGTCTCCAGCATGTCTTCCCTCACGCCCTCTAGGACTCGGCCTTCATCTGTCCTGCACGTACATGTGTCTGGGCTCAGGACATCTTCAATCGTCATCTTGGTGTTGTAATACCGGCCAGCCTCGTACAGCTTGTCCACGAAGCGCACGCGCAGGTCCCTGGTCAGCCAGTGCCGACTCCTGGCTGCTGTCCCTCTCTTGGCTGCAGGCCCCTCCTGTCGGTCTGGAAAGTGTTTCCGCTTCCTGCCTGAGTCCTCCTGAGGGTCATGCAGGTCTTCGTTCCTGAGGGCCTTCTGTGACAAAGCTGTTCCGCTGTGTTGTCGAGAGCAAGTTCTACTTGCCTGGACAAGGCGCAAGGAGTTCGCGTCGAACTCCTGCTGAGACACGGGTCGCAGGCAGTAGCCGCTGATAGTCACCGTGTGACGGCCCACTGCGAGCCGAACCATGGCCCGCACGTTGTCAGGATCAAGGCCTTCCACCTTTCCGTAGAGGTGTTGATACGGGCCGGAAAGGACCACCACAGTGTCTCCAGGCACCAGCCCTTGAGTTTGGTCTTCCTTATCCTTCTCCTGTTCCCCATCTGGCCTTGGTGGGTGATAGCAGCCACTGGAGGCCACGGCCTGGACTTGGGCCTGAGTCAGGTTGGCACCCAGCCCTAACCCCTTGAGCCTCAGTGACGTTACACAGGGCTTCACCACTTCATTGAAAGTGCGGCCAATGCCCTCGCCAGGTTTCCAGCCCATGCCCCGCAGCATGGCCAGCCCATAGGCCTCTACAGGGACTGCCTCGTAGTCAGCGTCTGGCACTGTCTCAGCCCAGGATTGGCTGTCTCCCCTTTTCCCACCGGGGGTGCATCCTGTCTGGGCCACGGGGATAGTGAGAACGGCGTCAGCACCCGCACCCTTTCTCTCCACTAGAGACATCTTGGATTCCTCTGTGAGCTCCTTCACGGCCTGGGACAGCGCTGTATCTGCCAGTGCCTCTGTGAAGGGCCCAGGGCTTTGGGCCAAGGGCTGCCTTCGGTAGCCATTCTGGATCAGCGGGATGACCAGTTCCTTGGGGCCTTCTGGGGGGTTCTGCAGCTCCCTTCGTTCCATGGTCTTTAAGAAATCCTTTTCCTCTGGGGCCAACCCCGCAGCATCTCCCTGACCTGCCAGCTGCCTCGGCCTGGATGTGCGTAGGAAGCAGAATGACAGTGGGGCAGCAGGAGTAGCCGGCTCCAAAACATGGTCTTCGGTATCTGCCATCTTGCCTGTCACCAAAAAATGCCCACTGTATCAATCAGTATTTTACTAGAGACACAGATTTAGCACAAGATATGCAAATGTATAAGAATGTACAGGACTAGGGCCGGGGATTTAGCTCAGCGGCACAAGCACCTGCCTGGCAAGCACAAGGTCCTGAGTTTGATTCCCGGTACCAAAGAAAAAGAATGTACAGGACTGGCTTACCATGGCCACCCACAGAGTCGTGTGTGGAAGCGTGCAGCAGAGGCTCCGTCTGCACACGGGAGACCGAAGGATTCATTTAGTGCGAGGCCTGGAGCTCCCTGCACTGTCCCGTGCGAGTCCGTATCAGAAGGCGGATAGGTCTGCGATGGAAGGCTGAAGGGTGTGTGCCAGAAGCCAAGAGATGGAGGTGAAGGTGAAGACTGGAGGTCCTGCGAAGAGACAAGCAGCCCTGTCCTTCCTCCTTTCCCCTTTATACCATCCAGGCCTTGAGCCGCCCTAGGGCGGGTCTTCCACACCCTAGGGCGGGTCTTCCACACCCTAGGGCGGGTCTTCCACACCCTAGGGTGGGTCTTCCACACCCTAGGGTGGAGAACTGCTGAGTCGCTTTAGTTAAGCTTCTCAACTAAACTTCTCAATCTGGTAGTCAGTCAACCATCACGGCCGCCCACAGAGTCAGGTGTGTAGGAGTGCAAAAGCGCTGCATGGAGACCCAAAGGATGCAGTGGAAGGCCTGGAGTTCGACGTAGTGTCCTGACTGAGTCAGTATCAGGAGGCCGGAGGGGCTGCAAAGGAAGGCTGGAGACACTATCCAAGGCGAAGGAGAGACGGGAGCTTCTCTGAAGAAACAGGATTGAGCCTGCCTTCTTCGTTTCTGTTACTCCATTCAGGAGGCGAGCCTAATGGTTGCCGTCTAAGGGTGGGTCTTCTGTCTTCAGAAAATACCTTCGGCCACACCCAGAAATGTGCTCATCCAATGAGTTGCGAGTTTCTAACTCAAACTGACACAATCCATTGACTATCACAGTGTGCCATGTTCATTGGTCAAAACATTCAGCTATTGTTTCTTTTGTTTGTTTGTTTTGGTTTTTCTCCGGTACCGGGAACTGAACTCAGGACCTTGCGCTTGCCAGGCAGGCACTTTTGCTGCTGAGCTAAATCCCCAGCCCCTAGCTATTGTTTCTTGTTGCTGGGGCAAAATACCTGACACAGTGAAAAGAGGAAAGGTTCCTTTAGCTCACATTTGTAGAGGTTTCAATACATAGACGCCAACTCAGGGTGGCATGGCAGAGGGGCATCAAAGAGGAGAAAAGGTTCTTGGCAGGCAGAAGGCAGCAAACAGCAACTGACAAACAACCCGCTAGCCATCTTTCTGTTCCTTATGTTTTAGGGCAGATAGCACTCACACCCGGGATGGGGCACCCTTAATCCTTCCCAGTGCTATGCCAGAGCAATCAGTGGACTAATTTAGTGATCACACACCCTTAATCCTAGCATCACACACCAGATCTAGCCACCCTGAAAAAGCCCCACCTATAACCGCATGAAGCTTTTGAGGTACGTTTAGATACAAGCCATAACAGCTATGATGTTAGCTGGGCGTGGTGGTGCACAGTTGTAATCCCAGCACTCAGGAGGCTGAGCCAGGAGGATCATTGCAAGTTTGAGACCAGCCTGGGCTACAAAGTGAGCTCAAGTCCAGCCTGAACAGCATAGCGAGACCCTGTCTCAAAAAGACCAAAAAAAAAACAAAAAAAAAGAGAGAGAGAAAAAAAGGAAATACCTGGAAATTAAAAAAAAAAAAGACAAGCAAATTTGAAAACTCCATTTGGAAATACGGAGTACAAAACTTTGAAAACAATGAAGTTTTAACTGAGTGGTGGCACATATCTAATCCCAACACTCAAGAGCCTGAGGCAGGAGGATCTCCATGAGTTCTAGGCCAGACTGGGCTACATAGTTCAAGGCCAACCTGAATTACAATAAAATGAAACCTTGTCTCAAAAAGAAAAAGATGGGTTTGTTGTTACTGTTGTTTGTAATGGCTGATACATGTGCTGGGATTACAGGCAGGCCCTACCACTCCTGGCTTGGGTTGTTTTTTTGTTTTGTTTTTTGTCTTTTTTTGAGACAGGGTCTCACTATGCAGTTCAGGCTGGTCTTAAACTCACTTTAGCCCAGGCTGGTCTTGAACTCACAACAATCCTCCAGCCTCAGCCTCCCAAGTGTTGGGATTACAGGTATGCACCACAACACCCAGCTTTTTGTATGTGTGTCTCATAAAAAATTTTATTGGTACATGTTTGCCATGATCACCGTCATCTTAATTTGGTGCACGGTGTGTGTCTTCACTTTTATTATAGCTGGTTCTGCTCCAGAAAACACAGGACCTTTTCCTAACAGTATTTGGAAGTAAAGTTAGGAGCTGACTAACTCATTTTAGAGTGGGAGAAACAAGCATGGAACTCACTGACATCACAAGGTAATTATGGATGTTCCTTTCTTAGCAGGTAGCAAGGTTTTTGCTGAAAGCATCTTTAATTATCATCTCAAAATTTTTTTGGGAGACCAGGTCTTGCTATATAGCCCAGGCTGGCCTAGAACTCATGGAGACCCTCCTGCTTCAACCTCCTTTGTCCTGGGGTTATGCCCAACTGAAAATATCTTTATTAAGTTAGGATACTTGGGGAAAAGCTATCATTTTTCAGTGCCGTGCAAAAACAATTCCAGGAATTCTTTTTATGTCATTGGCTGCATGTAAATGTCTTTTGCCTTCAACACCGCTCAAGCAGTTAAAAGAGAGGATCAGAAAAGGGGCTGGGGATTTAGCTCAGTGGCACAGTGCCTGCCTGGCAAGTGCAAGGTCATGAGTTCGGTTCTCGGTACCGGAAACCTCCCCCAACCCCCCCCCCAAAAAAAAAAGAAAGAAAGAAAAGGCCTCTGGTCAAACCAGAGAGAAAACAAAGTATGGACCTTATTATTGTTTGCATCTAGATGGCCCCCTAAAGCCTCATGGAATCATAGTCGGGCTTTTCAGAGGTGGCTGAATCCAGACAGTGTGATGCTGGGACCAAGGCTGTGTGATTACTAATTACTCCACTGATTGGCTTGGCCTAGTTCTGGCTAGGATTAAGCATGCCCCACCCTGGGTGTGAGTGCTACCTGCTCTCAGGGAGCTTGCTGCTTCCTACTTCACTGTAGGCTGCCCTGCTTTACCATGAGCTGTTTCTCCTCTGTGAGGCCCCTCTGCCGTGCCTCCCTGCCTGCAGCCAGCCAACTATAGCCTGAAACCACTAAGAACTGTGAGCCAAAGAACCTTTCCTCCTTTAACTTCGGGTGTCGGGTATTTTGTCTCAGCAACAAGAAAAGTAACTGACAGACCTCGAGAACCACAGGATATGACAGCTCCTCTGGAGATGAGCAGCAGATACCCCAGATCGTGTTTATCAGATCAGCTGTGGTGGAAGAGCTACACCACGACAGACCGATACAGTGGTCACCGGGGCAGTCCCGGTGATACACTGTAGTTTTGCCATAGTCACCTCAAGGTGATTAACAGATTTAATTGCTTTACACAGTAGTGGGGGGTCTCGTGATACACTGTAGTTTTGCCATAGTCACCTCAAGGTGATTAACAGATTTAATTATACACTGTAGTTTTGCCATAGTCACCTCAAGGTGATTAACAGATTTAATTATACACTGTAGTTTTGCCATAGTTACCTCAAGGTGATTAACAGATTTAATTGCTTTACACAGTAGTGGGGGAGAGAGATACAATAAAGGGAAATAGCTTCTTGAAATGGAAATATGGGGGCTGGGGATTTAGCTCAGTGGCACAGCACCTGCCTGGCAAGCGCAAGGTCGAGAGTTCAATTCCCGGTACTGGAAAAAAAACAAAAGCCAAAAAAAAAGAAAAGAAATGGAAATATGAAAGACGAGATGATTGTTTAATTCACTGTTAAGTAAAAATCAATGGACTAGGGAGTGTGTTCCCCAGTATAAAAATTCTGAGCCCAAACCCCAAAACTCACACATCAGCTGTGGAGTGGAATATCTTATGCCCAAATCAGTGTAATCTACTGCAAGGGAATAGGTCACTTTTTATTCAAAAAATCCATTTCATTCAAAAAGACAGAACTTTGACTTAAGATGTTGCCTGGCAGCAGGAATTGTAGCTGAGTTTCGCAAAATTCTAAACAGCAAGTAGCATGGGCTGTGAGTGGTAATTCCACCACTCAGGAGGCTGAGGCAGGAGATTTGCTGTGAGGCCAGTCTGGGCTACATAGCAAGTTCAAGACCAGCCTGAATTACAAAGTGAGGCCGTGTCTCAAAAAAAATAAAAAAGATAACATAAGAAAGACAGTTGCTGGAAATAAAATCTGCAGGAACTGATGGTATATTAAATGTGAAAAATGATGAACTGATTATTCCTGAGGTTTATATCTTAAAATTAATGAGATACTTTCTGTGTGTCAAGTACAATGTGCTGCTAAAACATAAAAAGAATGTGAAAAGCCTCTGAAGAGGGCAGAGGAGGCAGGAAGGAAAGGAGAAGAGGTTTAAAGAAAAAAATGAAAGAAAACAATGAAAGTAAGGGTTTTTTTGTTTTGTAGTACCAGGGATTGAACTCACAACCTTGCAATTGCTAGGCAGGTGTTTATGCCACTGAGCTATTATCCCCAGCCCGAAAATAAGGCTTTTGTAAACGTGGAGAAGGGTTGGAGGGAGAGGAGGAGAGGGGACAAAAAACAGAATTAAAATGTGCTACATACATGTATACATCCCGCATGAGGAAGGAGTCATTATATACTGCAAACATGTACAAATAAAAAATATGGGACGGGGATATAGCCCAGGGGCACAAGCGCCTGCCTGGCAAGCATGAAGTCGTGAGTTTGAGTCCCAATACCAAACAAACAAACAAACAAACAAAAATATGGGAAAAGGCTTTTCTTTCTTTCTTTTTTTTTTTTTTTTCTTTTAAGACAGGGTCTCACTATGCAGTTCAGGCTGGCCTTGAACTGACTTTGTCACCCAGGCAGGTCTCAATCTTATGGCAATTCTCCTGCCTCAGCCTCCTGAGTGCTGAGATTATAGGCATGCATCACCACAGATAGTGAATTATTTTCTTGAAACAAAAGAGATACATGGAAAGCCTGTTCTATCAAAACCATTCTTCTGACAAATGCTTCATTGATTAGTAGTAACAATATAATTAGCATGAAATTCTTCAATCAGTTCAGCTTTTCTTCTACTAAAAATATGAATTTTTTGTTGAGACAGTCTCACTAATTCAGTCTGTAAGTCTCTAGGTAGTCCAGACAGCCCTCAAACTTGCAGCAGTCCTGCCTTAGCCTCCCAAGTGCTGCAGGTGTGCACTGCCATGTCGCTAAAGATACAAAATTTTGTTTCATCTTTACTATGTAATAAAATATTGTCTTTTTAAAATGTTTTTGTTTTTTAGACAGGGTCTCACTATACAGTTCAGGCTGGCTT